CAAGAAATGTTGGGTCATTGTGTAAAATATATATAAATAAAATACTATGGTTTGCATATCTCATGAACACATATTTTATTCAAAATGACATATCAAATGTAAAATAGCACATAAAAAAGGTAATTTAAAGCTGCCAGCAGACAATCAGCAGATTACTCTTGTATTCTAAGTTTTGTCATGTGACTGCACTGTTAATGCAAATTCATTTCTCCCAGATCATTATCAAGTGAAATTCAAGATTTTGGTTTTGACTTTGTGAGCTCTGCATGGTCAGACACCACACTACATCTCTGWACTTTTACATGTTTTACACTCKCGTCAGGGCTTTGAGGTCTTGTAATAAAGACATGCTGTTTGTTCTCTGTAAGAAACTAAAGACTGGAGGAGAGASAGCTTTTTGTTCTGTGGCTCCAAGACTTTGGAACTCTTCCTCCAAATTTAAAATCAACAGACTCTGTGGACTCTTTTAAAGGCTGGCTAAAAACATATCTTTTTTTAATCTGTTTTTGTTTAAATCTGCTTTGTGTATTTGTTGTGTTTGTTGAAGCACTTTGTGATTCCTATCTTGAAAGGTGCTATATAATTAAAGTTTTACTTACTTACTGTTCTGTTTTCAACAGGAACTTGGGTCAGGGAGCAAGTCATGTTTAAAGCTAGCAACTCACTTCCAAAGTACCGTAATTCAAAGTAACTCCATCTGCCTTAAACATACATTTTCTCTCCCAAAAAAGATTGAAGTTGTTGATAAAGCCCACAGAGTTTTCATTACAGATTTTTTTTAAGCTTCAAAAGCCTACTAAACTTCACACCACCTTGTGCTGTGAGGATGGGCCCACTGATGAAAATCTCTATCTCAAGTTTTTGAATTGCATCCAGGAACTGAATGAAATCCTTTTTTATGATTTCAGTATGATWCAGCTATGATTTCCAGTATKTTCTCTYTGACATTKGACATGTTATCAGCAAAACTAAGAACCTTGGTCTTTTTTCTTCTTCCACAAAAGTTTAATCTCATRCACAGTTTTGTCAGCTACTATCTGTCAGCCAGCTTCTSSAGAAGCTGGCTGAAARCCTCTMTGGGAAAAAAAGGAGGCAMCTCAAAAGCTTGGCTGTCCTCAAAGTCCTCTCAGCTTCTTTGACAGCAGTCAAAAATAAAAATCAGATGGTTCTCTGCTATCCAAGGTCAACCAATCATGTCACAATGTCACCATTCTGTACCAATTTTGATCAAGTTTTTTAGAAGAAATATAGCAGAAAACCAGAAAACCTCTTAAAAATCTTTATTCCTCAGATCTGTAACTCCATTTCATTGTTCAGAGCATTTGTCTTTCAGTGCGAGTGACCCTGACCCCTAATTTACACTACATGCGTTCCGGCTCCGCTCCGACCTCCGCAGCAAATGCGCACCCATTACAATCNCTCAAAAGCTTGGCTGTCCTCAAAGTCCTCTCAGCTTCTTTGACAGCAGTCAAAAATAAAAATCAGATGGTTCTCTGCTATCCAAGGTCAACCAATCATGTCACAATGTCACCATTCTGTACCAATTTTGATCAAGTTTTTTAGAAGAAATATAGCAGAAAACCAGAAAACCTCTTAAAAATCTTTATTCCTCAGATCTGTAACTCCATTTCATTGTTCAGAGCATTTGTCTTTCAGTGCGAGTGACCCTGACCCCTAATTTACACTACATGCGTTCCGGCTCCGCTCCGACCTCCGCAGCAAATGCGCACCCATTACAATCAATGAGAGTGTTTACACTGGCTGCACATGGTGGTGGTGAGCGGACAGCGATCCGTCAAAATTAGAACAGATCCTATTTTTGCCAGACGCCGGAGCTGCTCCGGAGTCAATTTTTAAAGAAAATGTCGCACCAACAGGAAAAGAAACGAGCACAACATCCGTATTTTCAAAATAAGACACTTTTAGGCTGGATAATTTTACGGAATAATGTCAAAATTACAGCTATATTAATAAATATACGGATATATTTCTACACAAATGCTGTCAGAATGTATTGTTCTGTTTTGGAAGCAGATGGAAACGTAGCATGAAGCATATGTGTACGCACACGATACACGTGGATTTTATTTTGAAATCAGAAGTTTCAGAAAGCCGACAGCAAAACAGTTTCAACAAAGATATCAAAAGCCTTTATATCGTTGTTTTCAGCTGTGTTTGGAGTTCATCTTTCACAGAATTAATTATTTTTTGCTGTGACTTCCACACTTATCACTGAATTTATCGCACAATCTCCTTCCTGCACGTCTGTCGGACCGGAGCAGAGCGGAGGTAGTGTAAACTGGACCTGCGCAGCGGAGCCGTAACGCGTGTAATGTAAATTAGGTGTGAGTCTTAGAAAACAAAAAAAAGGCCCTCTCAACAGCACCGTGTCTGTTGCAGGTTGCACTAAAAAGTCTCTTCTCTTCTAAAGTTGTATGTGTATCTAAACAATAATAGAACACCCTGCTGCCAAATGTCCAAATTAGTCACAAAATGCTCCTTCAGTACGACTGCTTAGTGATTACCACTGTTGGTTGGTCAGAAAGAAGTTGCTTGGTTTGATCCCTGGGGTCTTTCTGTCTGGAGTTTGCATGTTTTTGTGTTTGCATGGGTTTTCTCCAGATACTCTGGTTTCCTCCCACAGTCTAAAAACATGCATATTAGGTTTCCTTCAGGCCAATACCTCCCCTCCAAAAACGATCTGTAATCTCAATGAGATTTGCCTGGTTAAATAAAAGTTTATGAATGTAGTAAATTTTATTTGTAACACTGTTATTTACATTTTACACAATGTCCCAGCTTTTTCAGAATTGGGAATTCCTGAATATTGTTTTATATTCAGAAAGCCATTATTTATAAACYAACAGTCCAAAGACAAATATCCTACCACTGTTTTCATCATGACGATTATTCTGACTGGTGTCTTCACTGTGCTTTCCACCTGTAAAAATAATAGTCAGATCAGAAATTTCTGATTGACCAAATCCATTCCTTTAACATTAGTTCTTAKTAAAGACTACATCTTACCTTTTCCTTTGTCAGGTTTGTAAGTTTTGTCATTAATCACATCACTTAGGTCACTGTCAGAAAATTCACCTTGGGAAAAACAAAAACAATCATAGTACAGTAATTGGGCAGAAAACAGCACTATGTTTGGGATTACAGGAAGAAATGCACAAAACATCTGAAGATAAAAAAATACATTGCTTGTCTAGGTTTAAACAATAAAAATACAATTATACCTTTAAAATTAAATGTATGAAGACTTTATAAGCAGAAATGGAGAAAGTTGGTGTTTCACTGAGACAGAAAAAAAGACAGAACATACAGCAACATCTAACTGCTGGTGTGTCCATCTTCTTTCACTTATCTGAGTTTGGGTCATAGGGGTATGGTGTAATATTCAGTTGGTGTTGATATTGTTATGGACGATTGACTGGTATTGGGAACTGTTCACAGTTCCTTCCACATTGACAAAAGCCGCAGTCTCAGCTGAAGAAAATCTGCCCTAAAGCATGATGCTGCCACCACCATGCCTTACTGTGGGTATGGTGTTTTTCTGGTGATGCAGTGTTGGGTTTGTACCAAACATATTTTACGGCTTAATGACCAAAAAGTTCATCAGACCAATGACACCTTTTCCCACTTCTTTGGGAAACCACTAGTATGTTTTTGCTAAATTAAGCCGGGCTTTGATGTTTTTTGTAAGAAAAGGCTTCCATCATGCACCCCTAACCCAGATCCCAGACATATTAAGAAAATACAAGATAGTTGTGACGTACTACACAACCAGTACTTGGGGGAAAAAAAATCCTGTAGCTCCTTTAATGTTGCTGTAGGCCTCCTGTGAGCCTCCCAGACCAGTTTACTTCTTGTTTATCAATTTGGGGTAGGCATCCAGTTCTTGGTAATATCACTGTTGTGTCATATTTTCTCTGCTTGATAATGACTGTCTTAACTGTGTTACATGGTATGTTTAATGCCTTGGAAATTCCTTTGAACCCATTTGACAAATAGATTTTATCAATGAGATCCCTCTCATGCTTTGGAAGCTCTCTGTGGACCATGGCTGTAAGATGCTGTCAAAATGTCAAAGAAAATGTCAGGAAAAGCCTACTAGAATAGCTAAACTTTCTTTGTGGTTAATCAAAGGCACTTTAAATCCCCAGTTATAAGAAAGTGTGAACATTTATGCAACCACCTTATTTGAATTTTTTTATTTGCCCCCATAAAATATTTATTTGTTTAAAACCAGTTGTACAGATTAAAGAGTTCAATTCAATTCAATTCAGTTTATTTATACTATATCGCCAAGTCACAACATACTGTACATTGTCTCAGGGCACTCTACATGATCTATAGAATCTAAAGAAGAAGCCAGCAGATTGTGTTGAATCACTTCATCACAGTCTCCTATCCTGAGCAAACGG